ATGCGTGATATTTTGATCTTTCTCGAAATTCACCACAGCAAGAACTTGTAAGAGGGACATACTCTTTCGCTGTATAAAACGAATCTCGTCTGCTTCATCGATTTTGGGTGGACGACTATCCTCATGAGTGAGAAGCGTGCAGATATCATCTCGATCAGCCGCTGCAAGAAGCAAATATGACATTTTGACTTTAAAAAAAAAAGAATAAATCATTAGAAATACCGAATTACTTTTAAAATCAGCGCTGGAATCCGGTGTAAGCGATGCTTAATCGCACTCACAAGCCATCAGGTCCCTTGATTCTAAGCTACACGCCTGTGACCCACTTCTTTCGAAGTTAAATGAATAGCTACGAGCACCAAACTAGCCGGTGCGATCATGCGTTTTTGCAATTCCGCCCATCGAACGATTGCCTATTAATGATTTTCACTGCTCTGTACTTTAGTCTGTGCAAAAATAGTTCAAACATCGGAAAACAGTTAAAAACTTCACGCACCAGTGCATGAAAGCTGAATTCGAACCTCGAAGGGTGAATATCTTTATCCCGAGTTAATAATTTATCCGCCAATCACTAGCCCGTAGGTGATGCCCGAAAGCGCGGGAACGCTGAATTTGAATGGGCAAGGTTGAGCGTGGGCAGGGGTCATTACCGCAAAATTTTTTTTTCAGCCTCCTAGACTCCGTGGTTCCCGAGGTATTAATTTACCCGTAAAAAACTTTCATGGGGCCATACGTGTTACGTGCGGGTACGGGGAATCACGTGAAGACGCTCAAACTGTTCCTCACTCTTCGTCACAGTCGGGGTTGTCTCTTCTGCTTTCGTCAGTGATTACGTTTCGCATTCGTAAATCACTTTCTTCATCAAATTACTACAGAAGTAGAAGAATTCCTTTCGGGGCACATAAAAAAGAAAATCAAGATCTTTTTAAAATGTTGTAATGTGAAGAACATACGACTGCAATCGAATTCGCGCATGAAACGTTCCAGAACTGAACCAATGCCAGAGTCACCAGCAGCCATCTCGCGAGCCTATTCCTACGGCCACACCAAAAAAAAAAACTTATCCTGAAAACAGTTAATTTTAGAAATAACTACACCAGAGGATAAAATTAAGCGCAAAAATTATAAACAACCTTCAATGGATAAGCAAACAACCGTGTAAAAGGCATTAAACTGCGTCTCGAAAGTAAGGCTACTGACCCGAAGAGACGTATTTCCAGACATACATATACCAAAATTGTAATTTTAATTTTAGATGATGTGTGTTTATGTAAAAAGTAAGGGTCAGAAGGAAGGAATA